GTGTGTGTGTGTGTGTGTGTGTGTGTGTGTGTGTGCACTTAACGTCTCTCTAACCCCCACGTTTCTCTTCCTCGCTGTGTTAATACCTTGTGCACCTCTCAGAAAAAGCTCTCCTCCAGTAGTAAGTGTGTGCGTGTTGTTGCCTTCTCACAATATTCGGAGCAGCTGCTACGTGCGAGTAGATGACGATTAGACTTAGAGAACGGCCGGCTCCTTCCCTGGAAGTGTACTTTGTCTCTTGTTGTTTGTGGTAGAGCTGCGGAGACCTCTCTTTGCCATTTCAGACTTTTGCCTCTCGCTTCTCTGTGTGTCCTCATGAGAAAAAAAAAAACAGGGTCTCAGGTATATTTGATTCCAGTCCGACTACCCCGGTAGTTGCAGGAATAATAAAGCATTCAGTGCATAGGAAACAGAGAGTTAAGAGCCATCCTAATGCTAAATTTAAAAAACGGAAGTTGTATGTTGCAAAAGATCAGAATCAAAACGCTGCTTCCTGATCACCTCAGTGCAGCATCACTTCGCTGTTTGCTTCCTGTTGCTTAAAAGCGCCTTGTAGTTATTACACAGGATGTACGAGTGACGATTCTGAGCGACGGTGTGCAGTGCTAAGTCGACTGTCTTGCTTTACAATATGTTTATAACATGGTCAGAAGGAAAACAACTACTAATTTTAAAAATCACAATGCCTGGAAATGTGATCCTATGTTGGTTCAGCCGCTCTTTGTCGAGGTCGTCACAGAGGATCAACATCTGGCCGCCCCTCCTGACATCACCATCGTCTCTATCTCACTGGCTTGTGCTGGGTTTTAAGAGCTGGGTTTGATAGAATACATACAACACCACAGTAGCCTGAAGGAACAGTCCGGTGCAGCTCAGCCGGTGGCCCGAGCGGCACCGGATTTTTTAAATGTGTGTCAGGCGTCCAGTCTCTACTTTGTGGGCTGCCAACCGATCACCTTCAGAGCAACACCACGTTTCCTCTCAGAGGCAACTATAGTTCTTTCCAGGCTTCGACCAGTTGGAGACTGTTGACAAAAAGCTCTGACTGGCTTTAATATACTTTCATCTCTGCAGGCATTTAATTGTTGAGTGGCTTTAGTGTTTTAATGGAGGCTGCAGGTATAGATGCAATAACATTTGAGTTTAAGGGTCTCTAAGCCATGTCCTTTCATAATCTAGACATGAGTTGTAGCACAGATGTGATTTTAGACGTTGTAGCATCCAGAAAGAAAACATAATCAATTAATGAGCACAAATCCCTGTTATTAAATAGCCTGCTTGCTCCACAGTGTCGCTTTTGTTAAGTCTTTGCGTATTTAGCTCTATTCGCTCAAATATGATAATACTGTATGTCTGTGCGTGCTTGTGTGTGTGTGCGTCGTCTCTGTCTTAGTTTTACTGAACTCCACGTATTCTGTCAATCGGATGTTTGCATGGCCAGTCCCAGAGTAGATTGTGTGAAAGAAGCAGAGGAGATTTACTTTTTCTTTTTCCCAGGATGCCTCGGCCCGATGCTCCTCTCTGTCTTTTCTCGTGGACACAAGGACCTTGGTCCAAAATTTGTGACCTTGAGCCGGGTGAAAACAAACTTTTATTGTTGGTGAGCTCCCAAAAGATTCAATCCCACGGCCGCTGCTCACATGGAAGCGTTGGATGTTGTGGAACCTTAAATCTTTGTAGGAAGACTTGAATTATAAAATCCTTTGACACCCGGAGTTTGAAACTAACTATTTTCTTTAGGGCTATAACGAAATAGCAATAGATTTAATTTTTTGGGTGTTTTGTGTCCCCGTGTTTCCATTTCTACTGGGCTTCTCTGCTTTTGCTTTGAGGGGAAAAAAAGAATTAGGGTTCAGTTAAAACCACATTGCTTTATAGAATATAACACTGACAAGCCTGCATGTGCAGTTTGTGTTGCTCTAACTCAATGTCCATGTATAGTAATCCTGTCCTTTCTCTCTCAATAGTATAAGTCCATGCATGTTTGCTTTAGGGAGCTTTTCGTTCGTCATAAAGTTAAGAAACCGAGCGTCGCTGTCGTCCTCCTCACGCAGGAAGGAGGAAGACGAGAAAAAAAAAAAAGAAGTAACTGTCAATTCGCTTTGCCTGCAAGTCAACTTTGGGCAGTATAGGTAACCAAAGAAAGACTACTTTAACTAGGGTTTTAGTGAAAACAGAAAAACTTTACAAGAAAAAAGGAATGCGTGATCTTCGTATAGGAGGTTGAGATACTGCCATCCATGTCCCATGTAGTGTTCCTCGATGTTTGCCAATACGTTACAAAACATCTTCAGGTAACCATTGGCCTTATAGATGTCCTCTGATGGTAGAATATTGTATGTATTTCAAAACACCACAGAATAGCTTATCGTCTGTCTCATATGGTACCAGTATTCCTATTGTTCTGTCTGTTGTGTCTTTTTGGCACTTTGCTGTGTGACCTATGAATGCATAGGTTAAATTTCTAATTACTTGAGTAATGTCATATATTTCTGTGTGTTCTATGTGAGGTACTGCTGCCTATGGATATAGATATGTGCCTCTAACCGCCCATGACATCCTTTGATTTGGAAATAGAGAGTAGATACTGTATATAACAAATATGTTTTAAAAATACGTGTGAGATGAAAAAAATAAGATATATATCATATATGTGAAATGCATTTATTTTCAATGTCATCAATCTTTGAGGCCCTACCTCAGATTTTGTATTTATGTATAGAAATGCAATTGGATTATAGTATCTTTGCCAATAATAATATATCGCTATTATATCATGAAATGTATAACCTATGAATCAATAAATAAATGTTATTGTTTTCTTCGTTGTCACTGGCTTCATTTCGAACAGACGTCCTCCTGTGACTGTGGCGCTGCTACAAACAACAGCAACAAGGAAATTAGGTTAAGACAATAATTCCCCTCTGTGATCCAACCTGTCAATCAACTCTCATATTCAGATGCTAAACAACTGAAGGCGTCACAGCCGCGTGAAAGCTTTACACACTGTTTGTTGTTTGCTGGGTAATCATGATCAAAGTGGAGGAGATTAAAGAGAGACAGACGATTTGAACGCTCCTGCAGACGTATTCGTTTGTTGGTACATACAATGTGCTGCTCAACACCACTCACTGTGGCAGTTTTGCATATTTCATGTCAAACTAATTTGCAATTTAAATGCGTTTGCATGCAGAACTTTGGCTATAGCATTATATCATACACACCAGAAGCCCCTAACAATGCTGGGAAGCAAAATGACTGTGGAGGTTTATTGAATTAAATGCCTCAATGGCATCGAGGTTTATTGATTTGTTATGAAAAGGCAGGAAACTACTGGAAATAACCATTTGTAAGATTAATTCTACATTTAATTAAATAGAACAATTCTATATTGCCATCACACAAACATTGGGAGCAATAAAAAGATTTTTAAATGCATTTATTTACTTTATGGATTGTGCATTAATTAAAACCGAATGCAACCTTACTTTTTGTGAAAAGATCTAAATACTTAACATGGTTCAACTTGAGCAAAACATCTGCATGACATCATCCAGGAACAATAGATGACAAGAGTATTGTTGCCAGATTGTAAATACGGACGCACGATACTTCTCATCTTCGTCCCACTGTACAAGAATAAAACCAAAGTATCCAGAATATATGTGCGCTGCCATCTTGAGCTGATGACATCATTTGGAGCCAGAGTCGGTGCAGTGGGGCGGAAAATATGCACTTGAACCAATCACTGCTCCGTGTCAGCTGTCAATCATACTGTTTCCCTCTGTTATAATATCAAACACGTGGTTAAACATCAGTGTGATAAAACCTGAAATGACCATCCATTCGATTTTTTTAGTTTAGTCCACTAACATGGAGGAGGTGGTAGAAGTGATGCTACGGTCTTAGCAGCCTGCAGCTGACAGTTTATTTACAGCATAACTTCTGAATTATTAAAGTGCTGTTCTGTGAAGTCACCTTGAGTTGTCTGAGGCTCAGATAAAAACTTGTAGACTCTCATCCCACCACCAGCGTGTGTGAATCAGAAACCAGACAATAATCACCGGCCCCAGTTTCATTATCTCACAGCGACTGCTCCTTTTTTCTCTACAGCTCATAAGCAGCATGAAAGCTCCATCAATTGAATCTCTGATGCTGGACTTTGACCAACATGAAGCCGGAAAACTTCAGTGTTTACTTCATTATCCTTGGCTTTAATCCTTTGTTTCAGAAAACCCCGACAGGCGCCTCACAGGAGCACAGAGACTCCTCAGAGCAAAACGTTAACCCTCCCAATTAGAGAGGTAAATGTTGGACCTCTGCAGCC